TTTTATAGATTTATAACAGAAACAGGAAATAAGGATCGAGAACAAAATAAATGCTTGAGCATGAGAACGGTTCCATTAATACGGGCCCAGCAGTGGCCGGAGTTACCGCAGGGACGAACTTGCCCAGGTCTCCCGTAAGTAGCCCTAACCCCATATTGAACCCTGCCGCACGGGATCTGCCCTGGTTCGTTCTTTTCAAAGCACCTCAGAAATCCTTGTAAATCAAGTATTGGCCATATTAAATCAATCATCTGCATAGGGATATATACATAACAAAAATCGATCTGCCGTCCATATTGGGATAGTTTGTACTTTTATCTACTTTTTTCCTTCAAATTTCTTTTCTTAGCTGTTGCAACGATGCAAAGCTCTCAACAAACACATTTCATGGATTTGTTTGTATTTGTTATTACTCTATTCCTTTTTTTCAAGGGACATTATTTTTGATTGGAATGTTCTGATTTGTAAATCATTCTGTTAAAAAGTGACCATGACGTTACATGCTGTAACTAACATATGGCAGTAATTGATACAGGCTGTAATTGACAGTCAGCAGAGAATTACAAGACCCATATAGCTTATCTCTTTTTTTTCTTATATGAACTGGACAACAAAATGAATAATTTAAGATCATGCATGACGGACATCTCATAATTTTAGTCGACTTAGCAACACTTGTTAATAGAAATGTCAAAAACATTTTTGGATCAGATGGATTGCCTCAAGAAATCAGAAAAAGATTTTAAATCGGTAACTCCATCGAGTCAAAAATGATTGTTAGCATTACCTACCGGTCTATTTGTTTGTTTTCTACAGATGTTACGGTAAAGTACTGATATGAGTTTAAGAACGAAAATAATAAAGTTGATTTACACAATTTTTTAGACTAGTGTTTTTAATACATGCATTCAAAAGAATCAAAGGTCTTGCTCCCGAATCATATTGAGGAGATTTTGCCTTTTCTCCAGTTTTAAAAGACATAGATCATTCAAAGACACAAAAGTACTGAGGAATTGTTAAATCTTGAAGAATAGTCGAATATCCAATTGTGAATACATTTATAAAAAAAAAAAAAAAAATTGACCTAGGCTTTAATTTGGTGTTCTTGAAACTACATGTATTTATACTTACAGTCAGTTATAACAAGAAATATCTTCCTATCCATAATTAAACGTTACTGTTTATTGAATGCCGCATTTCCACTGTTTTTCATTCATTTATTCTGATGCCAATAGTGATCATATTACAAAAACATATATACCCACAAATACTGTAAGAGAATTTAATGCATATTTTTCTCTAAAATAATTTGGTAATGTGAAGAAGCAGATGTCACAGCAAAATACGCACTTAAAAAATAAATTGATCGTCTTAAAAATCAGGTAACGGAAAACTATGACAATTTTCCGAGACGGAATTCAGAAGAAAGAAATCAGTTTGTGTTTGTTGAAAAATTCAGAAAGAAAATTTTCTTTTTATTTGAACTTGTGTTAAAAAGACTTCAAAAGAGTTTTTAAAAATATGCTAAATAATGTGGTATAGCTGCAGAAAATTCGACTTGGCTTCAGTGAATGTATTGTCAACACTATATGATGACGCGTGTTAACAGTGACGTCACAGTCGCGACACAACATGTTGTGAACGTCAATTCGGCATATTTCATGGCTATATATATATATATACATACGGACTTATCAGTATCAATTGATGCTATTGTCAGGCTAAGGACAAATAACCAAGCGCATGTACTACATAGAAACAATTTTTAGTTCGAGAAAAATGAAAAAAATCAAAATAATATGTGGGACATCGAAGGATTTCATCAGTAACATCGACTTGTAAAAAAAAAAGAAAAATTGTTTCTGAACGTAAAAATCTGCCGGTTACGACAAAAAAACCAAGGTATTCATTGAAAATATAAAATTAATTGTTTATGCGATAATAGCACATCAATGCAGGCACGGCGCAACGCATGTTGCTGTTTTTTGCGAGCCTGAACGACCGGAAGGACGGAAGTTTTTGAAGCCTTCATATAGCATAGAACGAATTCACTGTCATGTTCCCGTACTTTCCGTGCATGTGTTGCTATAACGGCTCGCACTGCTCGGCCGATCGCTTCGGCCTAGAGTGCCCGCTATTATTCTGCTCAAAATTAGTAATACAGTGTATACAAATGCAATGGAATATTTTGCACCATATTTTCATATTATATAACAATCTACAATTATTGAATATTCAAATCAGTTACATTTGTAGATGCTAGTACGTATTATGCTCTCTTTAGCTTATTTAGGTGATTACAACCAGTTGCTCTTAGAAAACAGTTGTTCATATTTTTTGATTGTTTTTCATCTTTATTATATTGCATTAAAGTTACAGAAGGTATTGGTTTCTTCTCAGAAATGATATATTAAAATAAAGCTATGTTTGGCCACACAAAATAAACAGTTTCCATTTCACAGAGTTTTTCCAAGCACATTTTTAAATAGATATTTTTGATAGATAATAATTTAAGACACTGAAGAACCGCTTGCATGTGTTGGATAAGACACTTCTTTGCACAGGCCATACTAAGCCAGCGACAAGCAATATCATGAATTGAAAATAAATATTACACAAATAAAAGAGTTGTAGATATCCTCAAATTTGTCCCGATTTAAGCTCGCGCAGTCCAAATTAAAGGACCAAGGCGATTGTATGGGTGCTGTACAATGACATCTGCCTGTAATCTATCAACTTTTCTTCAAACAATTTCTTCTTCTTAACCAAAGTAAACTAAACTTGACTTGAAGCATTCGTATCGAAAGATGGTGGGGATCCAAAATTGTACAAATGGAAGGACTAACCTCTGGGGAGCTGAAAGGTGGGGCCAAAAAGAGGTTAAAGCTTGGAACTGGTTGAGATCCCTACTCTTTAACAACATTTACACCTGCTGAGTTAAAAAAAGAGATGACAACACATAATACAAGCATGACCCAACCTATGGAGACTCAGTCCCTGGGTCATAATTTGAAAAAAATGAGATCCTCACCTCCCAACTAATATCGTAGAGCTTGGAACTTACTTGCAAGACGGAGTACTTGCGTTTTGTTTATTTTCTTTGTCAGACCATAATACTTACAACTTTTGACGTAAGCCTTGTACCACAAATCTTAGTACGGAATAGTGAGCATGCATCATTTATAAACCTGGCCCACATTTTGTGACTGAACTTTATGTTACAACCATAACTTCTATATATTTGCTTTTAGGGCATATACTCCTGAATCATTAATCGGCACTTACTACTAAGCCCCACACTGGCCTGTTGGTATTTCCTTGCAACGAAAGTTCAAGGGGGCATATTGCTAAATTAATATATATATATATGTGCACAGTCATATGTGTACTCCATTTATGACGTCACAAATAAATTTAAATCGCTGAAGATAGCGAAAGCGCTAGCCGATTATACTGGTCTTCGTGTTTTGTTTTATTTATATATGTGTACATATATGTATGTTTTTGATATACCTTAGACAATGTGCACGTATAAAGTTAAAGGTCAAGCACTGTTAACAAAAACAGTATTTCACAATAAAACTCATTATCAGCATCATATCAGTCGTGTGTAGGGAAGGGAATTTTACATGTAATGAACAATGTTATATATATATATCACACAAAAAATTTGTGATAAATTAGTGCTGAAATTAATTGTGTAAATATTTGCTTATTCATGAAAAACTTTAATCTTACCATCTATTATTAAATTTATATTTCGAATTGTTTATATCTAACAACTCAAGTGTGACTTAATGCAGCACACGTGCATATGACATTTAGACAGAATGTGGCTACATACATGTGGCATTATCCTTAATTGTAATTACTATATATCCTTTGTGACATTTGAGATAAGACTCATGTGTGAAGTTTTTATATTCCTACATGTAAGTACGTACTCTCTTTAAACTTACTTTCATAAAGCATTACTTTTGTCCATCACATTACGCAACATTACGCAGCAGGATTAGTGTAAAAGCCATTACCTTGTGGACACTGACCACGGGTAATTGGTCTAACAATTAGCGACACCTGTCACTTAAACCTCAGGTACCTTTATTGTACGTACATGTATTTAACTGTGATATGTTGTATTATAAATCAGTTAGGTTCTAGACTCTGTACGGAACACATCGGGTATATTTTGGACACTCCAGAATATCCCGCCGTCAAGTCAACCTGTATCTCTTATTTAATTTCAAAGTTAAACTTTTATCAACTCTAACGTCATCATTTCAACAAGACAAATCGTGCAGAAAAACCTTATGTTATATACATCATCGGTCACACGAACAGATAACTGTTACAAAAATCATTATCCCATTCATATTCATCAATCTAGCAGCCATATATTTCAGTACAGATTTTAATCAAACCTGAAACGTATATTCACCGTGATTGGTGTTAAGTCACCTATAATGGAATTTCATCATCAAACTATTTTACTAATAATCCATGACGCAACGTGTCACTGTCAGTGAAGGAGTGTTTGTCTACAGTTTAATGGTATCATATGATAGCGGTTCATGTCCGTCTTGGATCGTTTTATGTTTTATAGGTTTATTTGTGTTGTTGTCGCCTAATGTTTTTTATTCTTTTTCCCCCAATTTCTTTTTTTAACTGAAGCAATGATTGACATTTTTTTCATTACATGTTTTTATGTTCACCGAGGGGATTTGTGTTATTCTAGAAGTCTGCGTATTGTCTATTTAGTCTCGAGTAAACATTTTCCAAGATTTTTGTCATACATATTATATAATCTATACCTGAATACGAGGCGTTCAAAGATACATAAAACAGGACTTCAATAATCGACCGTAATGTTCACAAAACCAATGTGCATCGAAACATATAATATACTCAAAATTGGTTACTTATTTGTAATCATGATCGGAAATAGTCATATCATTCTCTGCATTGCAATTTTGCATGGTACTTGGACTCTTATAACCAACCTGCCACATTGAGTGTGAAGTCCGGACTGTCCAGTATTTGATCAATCAGTTTAAGGTTGGTACGTTTACAGAACCACACAGATCCATGATCTCCCGTCTGTGGCTGTGTGACCCACCGGAACACTGTACCACGTCCTCCCGTGGACGTGATAACACAGGAACAGACATCCGGTGTACAGGGGACGGCTGGGCTGGCATTGGTGTTGTAACATTGACTACCACCTACTTGTACACTACCTACTGGAGTAGACGCGTCAGGACGGCGGTAAAATGTAACAGCATTGGACTCCTCTGGTACGTCACACGTCAGTGTAAAGTCACTCCCGGGGACAGCGTACTCAGACGACCCGGTCAGTGTCACAGCATCTGTCATAATAATATGGACATGCTATTATAATGGTTTAAAATGGGTTTAAATTTGCATGAGAGTACATGTATAAGTTTTTGTTATCGGTTTTAATATTGAACATGATTATTTTACAAGGGCTTTTAAGAAGAAAGTGTGGAACAATACGGAAACGGTCTACAATGAAATCAAATTCAACATCAATACCGCAGAGCAGGATATTTCCGCTGGGATGATATTGTTTTTGCGATTACGCGGATCATTAACGCGTTCGCTAATATATGATCCGCAGAATAACATGGCAAACTTGAAACTGAGCCGCGATAATACACTTTATAACCATGATGCCAACAGGGAATAGAGATCATGTGGTTGCACGGTTCATACATGCATGCATTAAGAGTAACACATGATATTTCAAAATAAGATTCAATCACGCATTTTATTGTTTCGGTAATTATTACTTTAACACAATGCACCTACATGTTCTTAATCATATGCTCTTATAAAAATAAGTTGCATCAAAAGGGACCTGATTCTAGTACCCTGTACCCTGTATCATGTATCATGTACCCTGCACCCTGTACCCCGTACCATGTACCCCATACCCTGTATCATGTACCCCGTACCCAATACCCCATACAATGTACCCCGTACCCTGTACCATGTACCCCGTACCATGTGCCATGCACCCTTTACCCCGTACCATTTACCACGTACAATGTACCCCATACCCTGTATCCCATACCCTGTATCCAATATCAAGAACGTAGTACCCTGTACCATGTACCCCGTACCCTGTACAATGTACCCTGCACCATGTACCCCGTACCATGTACCCTGCACCCTGTACCCCGTACCCTGTACCCATACCCTGTACCTCGTACCCCGTATCCAATATCAAGTACGTAGTACCCTGTAACATGTACCCCGTACCATGTATCCCGTACCCTGTACCCTGTACCCCGTACCATGTACCCCGTGCCATGTACCATGCACCCTGTACCCCGTACCCTGTACCCATACCCTGTACCATGTACCATGTACCCCGTACCATGTACCATGCACCTTGCACCCTGTATCCCGTACCCTGTACCCATACCCTGTACCTCGTACCCCGTATCCAATATCAAGTACGTAGTATCCTGTACCATGTACCCCTGACCCTGACCCTGTACCCCGTAACCCGTACCCTGTACTGTCACAGCACCATGCATTCGACACGATATGTATCTTAAAACACATATCTGCTTTAAAAATAAGTTTAACAATACATGATTTTAGACCGGTATACCACCCAATAGGTAGTACACGAAAACTTAAGCTCCACATGACCTTGGTAAATGAATGAACTTTAATCAAAATGTCATTTCGTAGCATTCATTTGGGTCGCTAAAGAGATTGATATGTTATAGATCCTGTGAACAATTTCTTACAAAGATGTCAGCCTCAATACCCTATTATCTACAACGTCAACCTCGCGATGCACTATTGTAATAGTTTGTCTATCAGTTCAATATATGCACGAACACAGGTTCGGATCTTCATGTTTGGTATTTAAATATAAATTTCAGGTAAATTAATTTTAGGGTGACTGACGCATCTTTCATGGGAAATGTTGAACATTAAAGGCACCGTGCCGCTAGCTGTCGCTATTTCTTTCCTAACTGCATTTAAGCTGACTCCACACTTTTGCAATTAGCCAGCAGATTTCAATGAAAGTTTCACATAATGGTTATGTCAATATGCAGAGATGATTTTATGAAAATCAAAGCATTCCGGTAAATTGGTGAGCAGACCTATTAAGCTTTAGTTGTGCAATGTAATAATTGAAGGTATGACATTTACATGTGTTTATGGTATGATCTGTGTGACACGTCTAAGGTATGACATATTCATGTATATATGCTGTATGGTCTGTATTACACGTGTAAGGTATAAAATATACATGTATTTATGCTGTATGGTATATGTGACACGTGTAAGGTATAACATATACACGTATTTATGCTGTATAGGCTGTGTGACAACTGCAAGGTATGACATATACTGTATCTGTTTTTAAATTAAATATGTTTAGCATGTTAGACACAGCAGGTTAGAGACTATCACATCTCCTACCACTATAAGTATAAAAAGAAGATTTTAAATTTTTCTTTTTAATAATTTAGATAATCCACGTGAAATGATGAAATTTAATCTTTGTACTGATAATTCCAGGTATCTACATCAGGAGATCCCTCCTCTTCATCGTCGCTGTTGTTATAAAGTTTTTGTAGATATCTATAGAGATAGATTGGTATATCAGCTAAAACCATTTGTTTGCAAGTGAAGTTTCTGGATGGACACCATCGTATAACTTTGTGTAATCATACGTTGAGTGATTTTTGTGTACGATTTTGACCATGTTTTCCTCGATGTTTGATTGATACCCTTATTATGTCATTGTCAAATTTGAGGGTCAAGATTGTGTGTTGTGTTGTATTCTGTGATGATTGTGTTAACGTGATGGAATTGATGTCAGTTTCATGATGGACTTGTACTTTTTGAGTCAATATTGGTGTTAAACATGGTTAAATAAAAAAAAATGCCATCACCAGTTACATCATATGCAGAATAGTTTTGATTTCGATTTGAAATGGTTGCTGACGGTCGCATATTATGCAATCTGTTAACAAAAATAAAAGTGGGGAAAATATAATGTTTCTAATTCTCTTCTTTACTGATATTCATAAAGCAGAGCAAACTAATGTGTTCACTTCAATGTCGAATCAAAATGTTGTAATGATTTACACAGATTAACGAAAGTACATGTACAAATTGTCAAGCGTTTAAAGTTTATATTTGTCTAAGAATCAATCAAGATATTTTACTGTACAAAACTGTACAGATAATGTTTGTCTTTTTTAAGTAAATTGTTAATTCTGTTGCATTAAATGAAACTAGATTCAATATATTGTACAAGCAGATGTAGTATTGACATTCCACAAGTTGACGTTCTACAGTAAATACAAATACAAGAGTAGCGATACTGAAAAATCCACAATTTGACCCCTTTTAAAACACCTTACATTTTCCCTTGGAACATGTATTTATTGTGTATGGGCTGTATGATACATGTAAGGTATAACATATACATGTATTTATGCTGTATGGTATATGTGACACGTGTAAGGTATGACATATACATGTATTTATTGTGTATGGGATGTATGACACATGTAAGGTATAACATATACATGTATTTATGCTGTATGGTATATGTGACACGTGTAAGGTATGACATATACATGTACATTGTATTTATGCTGTATGGTATATGTGACACGTGTAAGGTATGACATATATATGTATTTATTGTGTATGGGCTGTATGACACATGAAAGATATGACACATACATGTATTTATTGTGTATAGTTTATATGACACATGTAAGGTATGACATATACATGTATTTATTGTGTATGGGCTGTATGACACATGTAAGGTATGACATATACATGCATTTATGGTGTATGTGCTGCGTGACACATGTAAGGTATAACATATACATGTATTTATGCTGTATGGTATATGTGACACGTGTATTGTATGACATGTACATGTAACGATATTATACATATTTGTATCTCTCCGTTAAGAAAATATCACCTTTTTATTTCGTTCACTCAACTTATGAAAGAAAAACTAAATCGTTAAATGAATGCCACATCCTTCGCACAAAATATGTAAAATGAAACCCTGAGATATTATTGATATGTATGCATGTTTTGGCTGTTATTGTGTAAAATACAACCATAAAACATTCACGAAAAACGTTAAATTTTGTTCATAAACAAAACAAGAAATGACGTTCGAATTAACGTTTTCGACACAAAACAGCGTAGCGTTCCATACCTTAGATTCAGAACTTGCAACAAACCGAATACAGGCGAACGACATAACATATTCATCTAGAAATCATATTGCGAATGAACGGACATTTTGAACAACTAAAAACATTACTCAAATGATAAATGTCGGTTTCCTGTATTTTTTGCAACTTTCAAAAATGATATCGGCTTTCAAGTATCATATAATTCAAGAAAACATTGTTATGTAGCTTTAAAATTCAAACATCTGCAGAATGGGCCCATTTTTGATATTTAAATATTTATTTATTTAAACGCGCAACCCGTTTATGTTATACATTGCATTGGAATGATGGTGAATTTTGACGTTATATCGGCGATTATTACGTTGCACTGGAAACTTCTATATATATGAATGAATTATTCAGGTAGATACACTTTTGCTGAACAAGATGGTATATGATAACATACCCAATTAGATAATTATTCAGATTTTATATAGCGCTGATGTAGCGAAATCCGCGATTTTTCGTATGTGCGTCAACATATGACGTTACGTCATTACTACGTGATGTGATTAGCCCAGGTAAACATGGTTATCCTACATGGCCAGCGTTATCTTACATAACCGAATATGAGTGAATTTAAGACTCTTTCATATGTACCGCTGGTGGATAGAGAAGAGAACTCCTCCCGAGGGAATCATAATTTGGGTAAAACCTGAGGCTTTGCCCCAATTATGATCCCCCCGGGAGGAACTCTCTATCCATCGATCAGGAAATGGTTGTTAAATGTGACCTTTGACCTTTGAAACTTGAACACAAATGACCACCAAAATCGAATTAGATATAACCTTTATTTCATTATGTTGAAAAACTTACCACAATATACAACCGGATAAGATTTATTATTCAAGAGGATCAATTATGGAAATTAAAAACACAATTCCGATAAACTTGTATATATTCTTTCAGGTAAGGGCAGGTCTGCCACCCGTACGAAATTACTGAGACTATTGAAAGTCAGAAGGTTGGTCATTATATCAAAATCATATCCAAAATTCCATCTACATTTGGGAGCAAACTTAACTTGATATCTAGTGAACTTCGTAGTGCGCACGCAGTGAACAAGGAAGTGCACTTGACAAAACATTGAAGTGCACTCCAGT